GCATCCACAGCCTCCTTGGGGCATCCACAGCCTCCTTGGGGCATCTACAACCTCCCTGGGCAACCTGTGCCAGTGTCTCACCACCCTCATTTGCTTCTTATCCCTGGAAATCACTTGGGACACGCAGGACAAACCCTGTCCTTGTGCTCAAGTTATTTCCTCTTTTCAGCTTCTGCCTGTGACCTCAAACTGTGTCTGAGCAGAGCTGGAAACAGCAGAGGCAGTGCCAGTGCTTCCCCTCTGCCCCACACACAGCACCACGTGCTCCTGCAGAGCTGCTCAGCTGAGGTTACACCTGTGAGTCACTGTTTGTGGAGACAGAAACCAAACCAGGGGAGAGTAAAGTCATTCACTGGGTTTGCACTGAGCCTTCACCACCACTGGGACCAGAATCAAGGATTATTCCTGTTATGAATGCACTGACAGCACCAGGGAAGTGTTCCAAGCTGGGCACGGTGCTGCTCACCTGCTGGCACACCCCAGAGCTCTGTGCCACAAAGGAATGAGGCTAAGCCTTTACCTCACAGATGGAGTACAGCTTCAGCAAACCCAGGCAAAAAAAAAAAAAAAAAACAAGCATCTCATGGAACTATTTTTTCCCTTCTCTCATCTCCAAGGAGAACACACCTCCATTCAGCAGCTTGCCTGACATGTGCTTTACATCATGTGCTGGTCTGAGCCTCCACTGCAGACTGTTACATAAGGGATCCTGCTGCAGAGCACTGCTGGCATCTTCCCTCTGCCCCTCCCTGCCAGGTGCTCCCTGCCCTGCCACACACACCTGCTCCAGCCCAATCCCTTCCTCTCCTGGGGCTGCAAACAGCTCCTGTGGCCTGGAGACTTGTGCCAGCAGAAAAACTTGTATTTATTTCTCTAACATTCAGGAAGTGTTTCTTACCTTTAACATTTCAACTTGGTTTCCAAGTCCCTTTGTGCACAGTTCCATGACTGAATAGGAACAGAAAGTGTCCCTTACTTTATACTGGCTGACAGTAGATAACCAGAGAAAAAGGTTGGATTCCAGCTCCATAGGAGGAATTAAAATTGACTGGTGTCCAGAATACACACTGTGAAGGACACAAAGGAAGAAAACATCTTTGTGTAGCATGTAGTTATCTTTGAATTAGTATTTCCTGTGTTCTCACATTACAGCCCTCCTAGACCAAGAGCAGCTTGGGGGACTCTGAGACAAACTGGAGCAGCAGCATGGTAAAAATGCAACTTACTGTACAAGAATAACAACTCACACGCACACACCAACTGCACACACACTGTCAGAGTGAGGGAAGGGAACTGGCTCAACCCCACAGAGAACAAAAAACCCCTTACTGCAACGTGTAATCAAGGAAGAAAGGGAAGAGAAACATTCTGGAGCCAGTTAATACTTGGCAGCACAAACACACATAATCAAGATGGGATAACATCTTGCTAATCTGCAGGAAAAGGGAACATGTTATTGTCAGTTCAAAGGCAAATTCCCCTCACTGTAAATTAGTCATTTTGGTAATGTCAACACGTCTGGAATTACACCCACAGGGACACACTTCCCCTTCACAACCAGCCAAGAGATCATCTGTCCCCTGTCCTACCTGCAAAGGCACCAGAGCACAAAGCCCAGCCCACAGTAGGGGTCCAGACAAATGGCAATCTGCCGGGAGGAGTAGAGCTCACACTGCAGCTTGATGGCTCTGCACAGGCCGCTGACGGCGGCGTGCGACATCTGCAAGGCAAGGACACACTGCTGGGGCTCAGGGGCATCACCCCACACGGAGGGAAGGGCAGACACATCTGCCTTCAGAACATTTCTCCATACACTATGTGTTTTGTTCTTGATGTGCCATAGCAGCTGTAGGGACACAGAACTCTCTGAGTGAACCACAGCCAGTGACACTCACTGGAGTCACAGAATCAGAGAATCGACAGGTTGGAAAAGAGCTCCAAGATCAAGTCCAACTCTACTGTGGTTACTAGATCCCATGGTGGGTGCCACATCCAGTCTCAGCTTG